CCCCCGGATTCCTAGGATTCCTCGGATTCCCGAGGGATTGTTATGTAATCCGATGGATCCCTAGGATTCCCTAGGATTCCTATGGAGTCCTGGGATCCCCTAGAGATTTATATGGATTCCATCGGGACTCCTATGGATTATTAGGATTCCCTATGGATTCCGATGGATTCCTAAGATTCCCCAAGGATTCTTATGGATTCCCTTGGATTCCTAGGATTCCCTACGGATTCTTATGGATCCCAAAGGATTCCCTAGGATCCCTCGGATTCCTACGATTCCCTAGGGGTTCCTATGGATCCCCTGTGGATTCCCTAGGATTTTCAGGATTCGGAGGGTTACTGTGGATTCCTAGGAATTCCAATGGATTCCTAGGAATCACTAGGGATTCCGATGGATTCCCTCGGATTCCTGGGATACCCTAGGGATTCCGATGGATTCTCGAGGATCCCTGGGATTCCGTAGGATTCCTAGGGTTCCCTAGGGATTACGATGGATTCTCAAAGAATCCCCCATATTCCCACGGATTCCCAGGATCCCCTATGGATTCCTAGGATCCCGTGGGGCTTCCTATGGATTCCTAGGGGTTCCTAGGATCCCCGTGTATTCCTATGGATTCTTAGGATTCCCTAGGATTCCCGCGGGATTCCGATGGATTCCTAAGGATTCCTGGGGATTCCTAGGGATTCCTACGGAGTCATCGGGTTCCTAAGATTCCCTAAGGATTCCGGGCGATTCCTAGTGATTCCTAGGGAATCTTAGGGAATCGGAGGCGCGGTAGCGCGCAGATAGTTTCAGCTTCCTGGAATGTGTTGGTTGCATCAAGGATCCCGAAGGAATACATAAGATTTCTTGTTTAGGGATTCCTTAGAATTCCTAGGATTCCTACGATTCCCTAGGTATTCCCATGTGGGATTCTGGTGATTCCCGATGGATTCCTACGATGCCCTAGGGATTCCTAGGATTCCCTTGGGAGTCCAACGATTCCTTATGGAGCATTCCTAGGATTCCATAGGGATTTCTAGGATTCCTTCGAAGTTGCGACGATTCCATAGACATTCCTAGGATCCCCAAGAGATATCTTAAGATTTCCGATGGGTTCTTAGGATTCTTTAGTGGTTCATAGGATTCCCCAGAGATCCTGAGGATTCCTTAGGGATTCCTAGGATTCCTTCCGGATTTCTAGGATTCTCTCAGGATGCATAGGGTTCCCTAATGATTCTGATGATTTTTGATGGTTTTTGGGATTCCAGAATCCCAAATGATTTGCAAGATCCTCTCAGGATTCATCCGATTCCCTAAAATGGTTTTTAGGATTCCATGATTCTGAGGATTCCAGAATCCTGAGGATTCTTTGAGATTCCTACGGATTCCTAGGGATTCCTAAGGATCCCGAGGGATTCCGAAGGATTCCTCTGCTTCCTAAGGGGAATCCGAGGGAATCGGAGGCGCGCTAGCGCGCACATGGTTTCAGCTCCCTGGAATGCTTTGGTTGCCTCAAGGGTACCGAAGGAATGCTGGAGATATCTTTTTCTGAGTTGTATTTCCCGCTGGGTTCTTTGTTCTTTTGGGGGGGGCAAAGAACTTGGTCAACGGGGCCTGTGGGCAGGGTTCATACCTTGGGAGGAAGGAGCCCGGGGCTCGCGGGTGATGTTCGTACCTTGTTGTTGTTGTTGTTGTTGTTGTTGTTGTTGTTGTTGTTGTTGTTGTTGTTGTTGTTGTTGCTGTTGAACATTATTAATTCTAAAGAATAATTATTGTTGGGGCCCCTGGTGCACGGCCCCCCCGCCGCGCCTAGGCCGCAGCTACATTTTCATCATTTTTTCGCGAAAGCTTCAGAAAAGTGGATGGGGTCCAGATCCGGTTGTTTTGTTGTAATCCGTTTTCCCTTGCAAAAAACACTATAAAATGACATTTCTTGTTCTAATATAATCAAATTTCAAGAATCCCTTGCAAAAAATAAGGTAAAGTGGACATTCGCGCGCGCAAGACGAAATCCTTCCAAAAGCTTAGTGTTCGGAGCGATTTTAACATAAAAACATCAAAAAACCAATGGTTTTTCAACAAAAAAATGTCAAAATCTCATCCCGCGCGCTCTTGCGGATTCGTAGGAAACCCAACACTTTTTAAACATTTCTGTCAAACGGGCTTTTGCGAGCAACTTTTTCGAACTTCTGCGACAACGGTTGCGCACCTGCCAGGGCCATCATCCCTGTCAAATAATACCATCCGCGCATGTGCCCAGCATGGCACAATTGCACCATGCTGGGCACATGCGCGCCCCGAATAAGTGACCAAGTTCTGTGGGTGTGTACCCCACGCCAGTGTAGTAGCCACGGTCGTCCGCACGCCACGAAGTGAAGTGTCCCAACGTCATAGGGCGGGAAGCTGGGTTTGGGTGGTCGCGAAGAGTCGTTTGGATATTTGGTAGAGCTTGTAATGCCCCCCCACGAAGTGGGGGTATTGCCTGGTGTCGTATGAAAACCCTGGCACTGGGGAGAACACCACGCGTTCGGGTAAAATGATTGTTGTTGTTGTTGTTGTTGCTGTTGCTGTTGTTGTTGTTGTTGTTGTTGCTGCTGCTGCTGTTGCTGTTGTTGTTGTTGTTGTTGTTGTTGTTGTTGTGGTTGTAGTGGTGTTGAATGTTAATTATTCAGCACTGATTATTGTTGGACCCCTTACAGGCGCTCAGGCGCTCTCGCCGAGGCGCCGGCTGCATTTTCATTGAACATGAGGCTCACTCTCAGGCGGTTTGGGGGACCGCCAAATCCGGCACCCCAAACAACATCAACGCTCCCGTTCGAGACTTCCTCCTTTTCTTCTCAGGGCCGTTGCTCTTGCTCGCCGCCGAAATCAGCCGTCTCAACAAAACCAGCGCTCCCGCTCGAGACGTCTTCCCGTTTTACCTTGGACAGGCGCGCTACTCTTTTTCTCATCGGCGCCGCCCCCCAGCAACAACAACGCTCCCGCTCGAGAGATCCTCCCTTTTTGACTCAAGGCGGTGCTCTTGCTCGCCGCCGACAGCCCCCGTCCCGACAAAACCAGCGCTCCCGCCCGAGACCTCCTCCCGTTTTACGCTGGACTGGCGCCCTTTTCTCCCTCCTCCTCCTCGTCCTCGTTGTCTTCCTCCTCCTCCTCCTCCTCCTCCTCCTCCCTCCTCCCCCCTCCCTCCTCTTCCTCCCTCTTCCTTCCTCCACCCCCTCCTCTTCTCCCTCCTCTATCCTCCCGCCTCCGTCCCTCTTTCCTCCCTCCTCCTCCCTCCCCCCTTTTCCTCCCTCCCCTCCTCCTCCTCCTTCTCCTCTTCCTCCTCCTCCTCCGCCTTGTCCTCGTCCTCCCTCCTCGTCCTCCCTCCTTTTCCTCCTCCTCCTCCTCCTCCTCGTCCTTTTTCCTCCTCCTCCTCCTCCTCCTCGTCCTTTTCCTCCTCCTCCTCCTCCTCCTCCTCCTCCTCTTCCCCCTCCTCCTCCGCATCCTCCTCCTCCTCCTCCCTCCTCCCTCCTTCCGCCTCTCCTCCTCCCTCTTCCTCCCTCACCCCCCTCCTCTTCTCCCTCCTCCCTCCTCCCTCTCCCGTCCCTCTTTCCTTCCTCCTCCTCCCTCCTCCTCCTTCCTCCTTCCCTTTTCGTCCCCTTTGTCCCCTCCTGCCTCCCTCTTCCCGCCTCCCTTCCCCTTCCGTCCTCCCTCGTCGCTCCCGTTTGATACTTCCTCACCTTTTACTCAAGACTGGGCCCATCGTTTCGGCATCGCCTCTGGGGGGCTTTAAAGAGTCCCTCTTGAACCTGATTTATTAAATAACTATCATTTTGGAGAGCATCTATCATGTGGAGGAGGAGAGGAGAAGCAGGAGGACGGATGACCTCTCAGGGACTCCAAGGATCGAGGGTCGAAGGGTCGACTTCAGGGATTCCTTGAGAGGGCGTGGAGGGGCAGGTGGATGATGCGAGCATGGGAGCGGCAGCGCCTGGGGGTGTGAACGTTCAGGGTCACGCGCCGAGGACGCAGGATGGTGGCGCAACAGGTCGAACGAGGAGTAAGAGCCACCCCGTCCACGGAGGGACTGCTACTACAACTGCTCCTCCCTCCTCCCCCTCCTCCTCCTCCTCTTCCTCCTCCTCCTCCTCCTCCTCCTCCTCCTCCTCCAGCCTCCTCCTCCTCCTCCTCCTCCTCCTCCTCCTCCTCCTCCTCCTCCTCCTCTCCCCCTTCCTCTCCCTCATCTGCCCCCCCCTCATCGCCCTCTCCCTCCTCCTCCTCCTCCTAGATGCGGGGCGTGCGCGAGGCGACTGCGATGGCGATGCGCCGCCCGAGCTGCGAGTATCGAATTCCTCGGAAGAGGTGGTGGCAATAGTTTCTTGGGCGGGAGATCTGGGCGAGGGAATATCCGACCCCGCGTGCCAGAAACAAATCCCCCATGGTGGGGTGCGGTATCCAGAAGGATGCTTGTGACGTGGAGGCATGGCGCATGATGGTGAAGTCATTGTTGCTGTTGGTGGCGGTGTTGTCGTCGCCCCACTCGCGACCTGGCCCGCGACTGGCCTGCGATCTGCCCACGACTCGCCCGCGACCTTCCCGCGACACTCCCCGCGACCCGCCCCGCCGCGACCCACCCGCGACGCAACCCCCGCGGCCCCCCCCTCGCGACCCGCCCCGCGCCCGCCCCCTCACTTTTATCCGCAAGTGCGGAGCGCTACGCGTCGTTCGAGGCTCCTCGCCTTGAGGGCCCCGTCCCTCGCCCTGGGGGCCCCATCCCTCAGGGGCCCCTCGCCTTGAGGGCCCCGCCCCTCAGGATCCCTCGTCCAGAGGGCCCCATCCGTCGTCCCGAGGGCGTATCCCTCGTCCTGAGGGCCCCATCCCTCAGGGGCCCCTCGCCTTGAGGGCCCCATCCCTCACGGGCCCCACCTCTGAGCCCACCTCTGAGGTGCGCCGCCGCCGGCGGCGCGGAACCGCGGGGCCCCCCGGGCTCTGGCGGCGCCTGCTCGCGGCAGGAGGCTTCTGAGGAGGAGAAGGCACCGATGCGCGGCGCTGCCCCGTCGCTTCGTGCTGTCGCCTTCCCTCGACCAGCAGGGGAGCCCAGACAGGATCGCGTCGCAAAACAACATCGGAAACAGGGTGGGGGGGGTTTTGGCCGCTTTCGGCCTCGAGGGGGGCCTCGCTGGGCTTCGGGTTCGTCGAAGAAGGAAAAGGGCTCAGGAGGAGAATCCGGTCCCGGGGAAGGGGTCCAGACCTCTGGGGGTCGACGTTGTGGCCCTCGCCGGGCTTCGGGAAGAGAATCCGGTCCCGGGGAAAGGGTCCAGACCTCTGGGGGTCGACGTGGTTCAGAAATCAGTCGCGTATCAGGGGGGCCCTCGACCTGCGCCTCACGCGCCGAAGGTGCCGCTGCGATGCGGCCGCGATGCGGCCGCCGCGGTTCGCCGCTGCGGCCTCGACGGTTGCGCCGCCGCGGCGCGGCGGCGGCGGCCGCGGCAACGCGGCACATGCCGCGCGGAAGGTGTTGAGGGTGCAGGTCGAAGGGAACCAAACCCAGTCTGACCCCTCGCGCCACGAAAGAATCATGACGGAAGGCTTTTGGCGATTTTCGGCCTCCGGGGGCCTTCGCCGGGCCCCAGGAACGTCAAAAAGCATCCAGTGGAGGAGAGCCGGTCCCGGGGGGGTCGGATGACGAATCTGAGCGCCAAGGTTTGGGAGAAAGGCACCGACTCCGCTGCTCCACAGACCTCTCCCGGGGTGCGTCGAGGGTGCAGGTCGAGGGGCACCTTTTGGGCGATCTGCGGGCTCTCCGGCCGAGCCGCGGCCTCTGTTCTCCACGCCCCCTGCCCGCCCGTGCCCCCGCGCCTCGACCCGCAGCGGACGCGCCCCGCCAGGAAGTAGCTCGGTCGCTCGCTGGGCCCGGCTCGCCGAAGACCGAGCAGTTTTCGCTTTGTGAGGCCCTCTTCGCCACGGCCCAGTTACCGAGCATGTTCTTTGGGTGGAGGGCAAAGGGTGAAATCTGACATGCCGTTTCGATGGATTTTCGAGGCTGGAATAGCGGAGTAGCGGAACCGGAGAGGTCTGTGGAGTAGCGGAACCGGTGCCTTTCTTCCAGATTTTGACGCTCTGATTCTTCATCCGACCCCCCCAGGACTGGCGTTTCTCCACAGGATGCTTCTTGATGTTCCTGGGGCCCGGCGAGGGCCCCCGGAGTCTGAAAATCGCTACAAGCCTTCCGTCATGATTCTTTCGTGACGCGAGGGGAACTGGGCTTGGTTTCCCTCGACCTGCACTCTCAGCACCTTCCGCGCGGCATGTGCCGCGCTGCCGCGGCCGCCGCCGCGCGCCGCGGCGGCGCAACCGTCGAGGCCGCATCGTAGCGGCACCCTCGGCGCGGAAGGCCCAAAAGGTGCAGGTCGAAGGCTTACAGACCCCCGACGTCGTGATTTGTGAGCCGCGTCGACCTCCAGAGGTCTGGACCCCTTCCCCGGGACCGGCTTCTCCTCCCGAGTCCTTCTTGGACGGCCTCGAGGCCCGGCGAGGGCCCCCCGAGGCCGAAACCGGCCGAAAACCTCCCCGCCCTTGTTGTGCCTCGCGACGCGGTCCTCTGTCCGGGTCCCCAGCAGGAGGCCGTGCTCACCGTTGCCGAGGCGCGGGCGCAGCTGCGCGGCGTGCTGGAGGCGGACCGCGCCGCCGCCGCCCTCGCGCGCCGCGGGGCGGACGCACTGCAGGAGGCGCTTCGCGCCGCGCTGCGGCGGCGCGACGAGCTGCGGCGGTCCGCGGCTGGGCGGCCAGGCCGGGCGGCGGGATCTGTGCCGGAGGGTCTCTCGGAAGGGCTTAGGCGACCCGTCGCCTCCTCCTCCTCCTCCTCCCTCCTCCTCCTCCACCTCTTCCTCCACCTCCTCATCCACCTCCACCTCCTTCACCTCCACCTCCTCCTCCTCCTCCACCTCCTCCTCCTCCTCCTCCTCCTCCTCCTCCTCCTCGGGTCGCCTACGGCCCCCGGGGAAGCGTGCGACGTCGGGTCTCAGAGACCGGGGTCAATGCAAACGAGGGTCAGCCAGGGCGCCGGATCTTGCAGGATCCTGCAGGGCTGGGGGCGCGTTGACCCAGGCTTGGGTGCAGGACCCTGCAGGATCCTGCAGGATCCCGCAGGGCCAGGGTCGCACTGACCCGGGCTTGGGTCTAGGATCCTGCAGGATCCTGCAAGGCCCGATTGACCCGGGTCTGGAGTGACCGGGGTCAGACGATCCCCGATACTGACACGTGTCCATCGAGCAGTGGCGAGGCGTCCTGGCTAGCTTATAGACCCACCAAAGAATGTTCTAAGGACCTTTTGCGGTTCGCACGGAATGCTCTTAGAACATTTCTGCCTGGTGTTGTCTTATTTGAGCACGGGCTTATATATGCTGAGAACATTGTTGCTTATCCGAACATTTTTGGGTTCTAAGAACATGTCGTGGTAGGCCTGTAGGAATGCCGGGACGGTCTATCCCTGCTCAACTGACACGTGTCCAGTGGCCCCTGGCCTTCAGTCGGGCATGTCCTTTTACAGGAGGGATATTCAAGAATAGCCCAAATAGTCTGGGGAGAGTTTTTTCGGCTATTTTTGAGCATGTTGGGGTCTTTGTTATTTTTCGTCCAGAATCCGCTCGTAGGAGGACATGCTCGACCTAACCCTGGTCAGGCCCATCCTGGGCCCTCCCCAGACGTGATCGCGCTGTGAAAATCAGGGCGGGAGGTTTTGGGCCGGTTTCGGCCTCGTGGGGCCCTCGCAGGGCCTCGGGACCGTCAAAGAACGATTCAGAATGAAAAACCAGTCCCCCCTGGCCAGGCCCATCCCCAGTCCCCGCGTTGTCCCTGAGATCCTGGCGTTGCAATTGTTTTAGAATTCCGGCGTTTGCGCTCCATTTCGGGCCCCGGGGCCCTCACAGATCGCTCCGGTTCGAAAAGTGATGCAGAAAGATGGGGTCCAGGGCTCCGGTCGTGGTTTGTTGTGATGTTGCATTTTTGGGGGCAACGGATTTCAGGGAACGACGGGAGGTTTTTCCCTATGTTCGGCCTCTGGGGGCCCTCGCCAGGCCTCAGGACCGTCCGTCGAAGAATGAAAGGCCGGTCCTGGGGAATCGGTCGAGACCTCTGGGGGTCAAGGTTGCGAGAAGAGCACGACGCTGGGGGTCTGGGGCCTGGGCCATGCCCAGACATGAGACGTTCGGACTTTTGTCAGTACGGCGTCCCTGGGAGTCCCGACCCTTTCCCCGGACTGGTTTTTCGTCCTGAGTCGTTTCGTTGAAGGCCCCGAGGCCCGAGGGCCCCCCGAGGCCGAGCACGGCCAGGAACCTCCCGCCCGGATTCGATGTACGCCGCGATCATGTCTGGGGAGCCGCCGGATGTCTTACATTCGATGTGTCACCCGGCTTCATCCTCGTCCTGGCTTCGTCTTATCGCAGGCTGCCAGGAGGCTTCGTTGGACAAGGTTGGCTTCGCCGGACTCGAGGTCCCCCCAGCCCGACCTTGGGCACTCCAGCACGATCTGAGGCGCCCCAGCCGCCGTCGAAATCACATTTTTTTTCGGGCCGGACGACAGGGGGGGATTGGGAAAGGGGGGGTGCGAAATTTGCTGCATGCAGCTGGTTTCGGCCCCACCGAGAGGCCCATTCCTCGATACATAGCCGCCTCCGGCGCCGGGAGGCGCTGGGAAGATCAGCTACATGAGCTGATTCTCAAACCCCCCCTTTACTATCCCCCCTTTCGCCCGACCCGATTTTTGAACCAGACCTTCTCGCCGTCCTCGATCTTGGGCTGTGTGCACAGACCCCGCCGCGCCACAGGGGCGGAGACGGACCGGCTCCGGGAGGCGCAGCAGCAGCTGGAGGGCCAGCTGCTCCAGGCGTGTCGTTGTCTTCGTCGTCCTCGTCGTTGTCGTCCTCGTCGTCGTCGCCGTCGCCGTCGCCGTCGCCGTCATCGTCGCCGTCGCCGTTGCCGTCTTCTTCGTCGTCGTCCTCCTCCTCGTCGGCGTCGTCGTCGTCCTCGTTGTCCTCGTCGTCGTCGTCGTCGTCGTCGTCGTCGTCGTCGTCGTCATCCTCGTCGTCCTCGTCGTCGTCGCCGTCACCGTCGCCGTCCTCCTCGTCGTCGTCGTCGTCCTCCTCGTCGTCGTCGTCGTCGTCGTCTCCGTCCTTGTCGTCGTCGTCGTCGTCGTCGCCGCAGCTGCGGCAGGCCCGGCTCGCGCTGGCCGCGGCCCTCGACGAACGCCACGCCCTCGGCGGCGCCGCCGCCCCCCACCAGCGCGACCGCGAGGGCTGCGCAGCGCAGCTGGCGGTGCTGAGGCAGGCGCTGGACGACGAGGAGCGGATGGTCGAGGATCTCGAGGGGACCCCCGACCTGCACCTTCCCCGGACCCCCTCGCGTGGTGAGGAAAATCACGACGGGAGGTTTGTCGTCGTTATTTTCGGGTTGACCCAAAAGGGGGTCCAGCGACAAGGGGGTGGTGCAATAGATTTGGTGCAATAGATTTGTGGGGTTGCAATACATTTGGGGCGTGCAGTACATTCCAGAACTTAAATGTATTGCTGGATTTTCGCGTGCAATACATTACTTGCAAAACAATGCAATACAATTCTCTGGCGCAATACATTTGCAATACAATTGCCCCAAATCTATTGCACCACCCCCTTCCAGCTGGACCCTCTTTTAGGCGTGCTTGATATTTTCTGCCGACGGGGGCCCTTACCAGGCCTCGGAACCGTCAAAGAACGACTCGGGAAGAGGTCCAGATCTCGGGGGGTCGACGTTGTGAAAAAATTACGACGCCGGGGACCCCCCACCCCTGAGATCTTGGCATTCCAATTTTCTTATTGCGGGCGTTGTCGCTTCATTTCGAGCCCCGGGACCCTCGCGGATCGATGCGGCTCGAAACATGACACGGAACGATGGGGGGCACGGGGCTCTGGTCGTGATTTTTGCCATGTATTAGTTTGTTTCTTTCTCGGATCTTGTTTTGCTTTCTTCGTTTTTCTTTTGCTGTTTTTATGTTGTCATGCTTTCTTTGTTTTCTCTCATGCTGTTTTTCTTGTGCAGCGTCGGATCTCTGGGGCCACACCTTCTGGCCGCCGCCGCGGCCGCGGCCCGCAGCGGCGGCCGCCGCGGTCGCCGAGGCCGCGGCCGCGGCGGCACCTTGCGCGCGGAAGGCGCGGAGGGTGCAGGTCGAGGGGGGACCAAGCTGTAAGTCGGGCATGTCCTTCTACAGGAGGAATAGTTAAAAGTTGTCAAAGAAAATCATACGGGAACGATGTTTCTATCATGTGTGGCTCTGCTTGAACATTTGTTGTACGATTCTTCATCTGTCTTCCAAAATCCGCCTGTAGGAGGACATGCCCGACCGAGACCAAGTTGTGGGAACATATTACAAGTAAAGCACCCTCATAGCAGCAAAGGTGCAGAGGCGGTTCGAGAAGTAGGAGGTCGACTAGAGAGAACGTGCACTCTCCTGGGTATTCCTATGGGTTCCGAGGGATTTCTAGGAAGCGCACGGTCATGTGCACCTTACTGTACTTTTGTTCGAGCGGTCAGGGCCGCCCAGACCGAACACATGTGGCTGGCATCGGGCCGAGGGCAGGACTCCTGCTCAACTTGTGAGGTAGTCCCAGGCGACGTGGCTGCCGGACCGGACGATCTCGAGCGGGGGGTCTCGGGCTTCGCGCCCCCCCTGCGGGACTCTCCCCTTGTCCCCTCTCGCCCCTGACGAGGGCCCTTTTAGCGTAAGAGTGCTGAGAAAGCAATGGGGCTGGTCAGCGTGCGGGTCGGCCGAGTCCCTTTCGGTGATGCCTGGGAGGCCCGAGGACTGACACGATTCAGTGCGGCCCTGAGACGCCACTTCCATGGCCCATGGCCGACGGATCAGGTCAGCGCTCTCTCCGTAGCCATTTTGGCTCAAGGTCCGTAGCCTCGGCTCAGGACCTGGCCTCACTGGCAAGGGGGAGCAGCGGCCCCCACAGTGCCCCTCGTTTGCCTGGCCAGACGAGGTTTCTTTTCGGCGTGTCGCGCGCGTGTGATGGTCCCTGACCCGCCCAAGGGGCCTCCTCGGCAGCCGCGTGACCGCCCGCATTCTCAGAGTGGTTACAAGGCGTGCTATGGCAAGAACTCGTGCGGCTACCAGTACAACCTGGTGGAGTGGAGCAGGTGTTTTCGCTGTAAGAAGTGGATTCGCGACGTTGCTGTTCGTGATACTGTCAAAGGGCCCCCGAGACCTTGGAGGACAGGTGAGCAGCAAACCCAGGACGCGTGGCAGTTGGTGGACAAGAGTGGCCGAGGCCGCAAGGGTGGTTCCATGTCCGACCACGATGCTGCAAACCTGGGCGCCAGTAATTCCCCAAGTGGAGGCGCCTCTGCCAAGCCTGGTCCAGGGTTCGGCAAAGGGGGCGCTGCTGCTCGCGCAAAGGGAAAAGGTGGTGAGAACAACAGGGCTGCCAAGCAGGAGTACTTGTCGGCAGCTATCGAGCAGCTCACCTTGGCAGGACTTGGACCGGAGCACCCGCTGGTCGTGGCAGCGAAGGCCCAGATCCCACTCGTGTCCGCAGTGCCCGAGGACCACCACGGCCAGACGCCTTGGATGCGTGTGCGTCCTCATCAGGACAAGTTGGCCCATTTCCAAGGCCAGCTTCAATCGGCGCAAGGTACGGAGGCATCCATCAAGCAGAAGCAGGCCAAGCTCAAGCAGGACATTGCTGAGTGCTTGGAGTCTCAGAAGGAATTGGCGGAGTCGGTCAAGCGCGAGGAGGAGGAGTTGCAGCGCCTTCACCGCCGCGCCGTCCTTCGCCCTGTGGGAGCTGATGGGAAGTCGGCGATCACGGGCTTGGTTGAGACCTTGTTTGGCCATCTCCCAGCAGGTTTCAAGTCGGCGAAGGCGGCCCAGTTCCAGTCGGTTGTGGACCTTCTGGGCGACCTGTCGGCGGCAGGGCTCCAATTCCAGCAGGAGGAGGAAGCGCGCCAAAGACAAGGCCGAGGCGGCAGCCCAGCGGGCGGCTGCTGGCGGAGATGCAAGTGATACTGGGGCTACGCCGTCATCGGCGATCGATTCCAGGGTTGCCGAGGGTTGCAAGCAGCAGCTCCAAGATCTCATGCAGGGTGGCAAAGCTGGGCAGTATGAGGGCCTCTTCAAGACGATGCTGGAGTTCCTGGAGAACCCCGCGGCCCTCACCAAGCGCCCCAGGCGCGACCCCCCAGCGCCTGCGGCGGCAGCCGCAGCAGAAGATCATCCTGTTCCTAGCGCTGGGGCTGGCCAAGTTCCAGGTGCCGATGCTCCCGCAGCTGCAGGTGATGGACCTCAGGGGGGGGGGGGGGTAACGTGTTCGGCAAGGTATCGGAGGTGGCGCTGAGTTCTCCCTCGAGTTCTCTTTCGGCGCCTGGTTCCTCGGCGTGTACACCTGAGATTTCGGCGGGCGCGAGAGGCAGGTCCGCCAGGGCCGCGACCGTTCTGGAGGAGGTCGCGGGGAAGCAAGGCTCCCAGATTTGTGGCGAAGCTGGGGCCTTGCGAGGTGGACTGGAGACTCGTGCCTGCCAGCCACTTATCCAGCCACAAGCGCGTGCTCCTTCCCCATCGGCACCTCCAGCGGAGGGTTCTCATTCGACTAGGCCAGCTCGACGTCGCAGTCGTCCTGAGGTCTGGGGGATCTGCTCGTCTAGTATCACCTCGTGGGGAGTGGAGTGCGACAAGGGCTCCAGGGTTTCGCGCAGACCTCTTTTAGAGCTGATCGATGCTGTGGAGTCCGACTTGCGTTTGTTCCAGGAGCACCACCAGACTGAGTCTCAGTTGGCGGACGTCCAACATGCTCTGCGGAAGGCAGGGCTCAATTCTTTGCTATCCCCAGCGGCGCCGTCGGGGCGTTCCGAGTCTGGCACGTCGGGAGGGGTCGGCATGGTTACACCGAAGATTTGGGGCCTCAAAGGCCTCGACGCACTACCCCTTGGAATTGCTGTACCTCCTGATCATCGGTTTCGGTTAGGTCTGTGGAGCGGGTTATCCACCAGCGGAGTCGTCGTCGGTTCAGTCTACCTACGCACGGGGATCGGCTGCAGGGGACAAAACCTCATCCTCCTTCACGACACCGGGGAAGTTCTCAGAGCGTATGGGCTGCCCTTCATATTGGGAGGAGATTTTCAGTTTCCTGGTGAGCAGCTTATTGAGTCTGGGTGGCTTGGGGACCTCCAGGCTGGTGCGATTTTCGATGATGCTAATTGGGCGTGCCAGCTTGGAACATCTCGATCCTCAATCGACTATCTTGTTGTATCGAATGTGCTCAAGCCTTTTGTTGACCGTTGCTGTGTGGCGACATGGTTGGCTTGCACGAGGCCGCACCGCCCAGCGGTGCTGGCGATCAGTGGCAGCCCCAGGCAGGTGACGGTACCCAGGCTGAAGAAACCGTCAGCGCTCCCGTTATGCCGTCCGATCGGGTGCGATCCCAGCCCACTGGAATGGGATGGTCTCCTGGAGGTTTTCAAGAGCGGCAAGTGTTCAAAATAAGTGTTGGATACTGTCACCTCCCAGTGGGTTCAGAGGGCAGAGCTTACTTTAACTCGTGTACTCCAGGTGGAAGACGATCCCCGATATCGAGGACGAGGAAGCCCCCCCAAGGCGGTCCAGGCCCCCCTGCTAGGCCCACCCGCGTCCACCCATCCCAGGGCCATCGGCGAAGGTCGGATGTGGAGGGTGTTCGAGAGGCGGCTCCAGGATATCATGTACCTCTGGCATGGGCCGCGGCCCACCTTTTGGGGGGTTACAGCAAGCTGGGCTCATTCTGAGGAAAGTGGTGAACTATGTGTCCCCTTTCACTGGCTGCGAGCACTGGGCTTCCTGGAGGCCTAGGATATTGGCGGTCAACCCGGCTGCAACCTCGGAGCTCAACGAGTTGATCTGGCAGGTCCGCAAGTGGGCCCAATAACATGAGCATCATGCGGCCTCGGAGCGGGCCAGGGCTTGGCGGAACTGGGTGGCTGAGGCTCTTACTGGCGGGGCTCGTCTGGGGCACAGATACACCAAAGAGGTTCCCAAGTGGGCTACTTGTGGGCTCTCGCAGTTCTCAGGGCCATCAGGAGCCCCTCTGGGAGTCTTGGGAGAAGCCGAAGCTCGAGCTCAAAACTGGCATAAGCATTGGGGAGTTGGACAAGTATTTCCGAGCCCTGACTTTAGCCGGCGCGAAGACGAACCCGAGCTCGAGCCCCCAGCGCACGAGGAGCTCTCTGCCCCGATTAGGTCGTACAGTACGCACACGGCCGTTGGGGCATGTGGCCTGCATCCTCGTCATTGGTCTTTTCTGGACGAAGGCGCTGTTGCAGTTTTCTTGTGTATCTGGCAGCAGATGCAGCGCTTGTTCCTTGTGCCCAGGTGTTGGGCGCTGTTGCTCATCGCCCTCCTGCCCAAGCCGCCGCCAGACGGAGGGGATCGGCCTATAGGTATCTTCCCGCCTCCTCTCAGGATGTGGTCCAGATGGGCCCGCTGGAAGGTTGCTGGCCCCTGGGAACCCGATCACCCTCGGAGTTTCTGGTTTGGAGATCCTGGGGCCTCATGTGACATTTGCGTTTGGAAGCAGAGTTTCAAGGCGGAGTTGTCTAGGGACCAGGGCAAGACAGCAGGGTCTAAGCTGCTAGACTTGGTCAAAGCATATGAACACGTGCCTCATCATGTGCTTGCCGCTGCTGTCCGTAGGCATAATTTCTCAGGGAAGACGTTGCGTTTCCTCCTGGCCACCTACAGCTTGGACAGGATGGTCTTATTCGAGATGATTGCGACAGAGGTGGTCTCGACGAATCGTACCATCGTCGCAGGTTGCAGTTGTGCTACCTCGCTGCTGCGGCTCGTGCTCCTCCCCCCTGCTGACGCCGTGGTTCAGCGGTATGCTTCCGTCGACCTCGCGATTGTGGTTGATGATTTGCAGCTTCAAAGGGTAGGGGATGCTTGGGAGGTGGCTCACGATCTCAGGGGTGCTGAGAACCTACTCACCTCCGAGCTGCTCCAGATCGGGCTCACTACATCGCTTCCCGAAAATCACCAGACGGTCGTCGGTCAGAACCTTCGGAGCGTCGTTCGTAAGGTCGACCCGTCTTCGGCTAAGTTCTGGACCAGATCGGTACGTAACTTGGGACTGGATTTTGGGGGAGGTCATCGTGTCTTGCATGTTGTTCGGGCAAAGCGGTTGGGCAAGATGTCTTCCAGGGTCTCTCGGTGCAAGCGTCTGGCTAAAGCTGGGGGCAAAACCATCAAGTTGGTCCAGACGGGCCTCAAACCTGGGATGCTATGGGGTGTCGGCGTGCATGGGATCAGTAACACACATCTGTTGAGGGGTCGGCAGATAGCTCGTGCTGGTTTCGTGTGCAGGCACACTGGCAGGTCCTTGCCCCTCGATCTCATGATCGCTGGCCGCCAGATCGACCCAGCCGACGAGTGCAATCGCGGGCCGATATACTACTGGATGCGCGCAATGTGGGACGGATGGGCGGCGATATCTGACATGGCTCGTCTTCTGAGCGGGGCTTGGGCTCGTCTTTCGGCGCTCCCCGAGACTCAGGTTGGGTCCAACGTTCGTGGGCCTGCGCCGGCCCTGGTGGGCACGATGATGCGTTTGGGTTGGAAGTTTTTGGGCCCATTCCGCTGGCTGACCCATCGCGGTCCCGTTTCAATCGCGAACATGTCGCCGCGAGATGGGGGTAGATTGGCGGATGAAGCTACCGAGCGTTGGGTTTGGCAGCAGGTCTTGGCGACGCATTCGTCATGGGCCTCGCTATGTCCTCATCCTCCTCTCCTCGAGCCTCTGAGGTCCCTCCTCCTTCCCGCCTCGCTCACAGGCCCCGATTGGACCCCTAAGCATCAAGGGCTCCTCAAGTGCCTTTTTGCTGGAGGTTTTGGTCTCAAGAGAGGCTGTGTGAAGCTGGTGGAGCGATTAATCCTGAGTGCCTTGCGTGTAAGAGCGTCGGCTCCACTTGGCACCGTTTCCATGACTGCCCTGTGCACACTGAGTACCGACGGGATTGCAAGGCAAGCTTTGCGTTGGCAAGTCAGATGCTTGAGTTGGCTAAGACGACTGCCAACCGCTCGCTGCTTTGGACCCGTTTTCTCGTCCCTGATCCGTCCTGGCTGTTTCCGAGCCCTTGCCTCGAGGAGCGAGTGGTGTGGACCTTTCGGTCGCCTGATTTGCTGCTCGATGTGCATGTTTTTGGAGATGGCTCGGGTGTGCACGGGCAGCATTGTCGTCTTAGGAGATGTGGTTGGGGGCTGTGCTCTCTCGACTCCCAGTGGAAGGAGGTCGCGAGGATGCATGGACCGCTGCCCATGTTGTTTCAGACTGTGCCCGCAGCTGAGCTTGTCAGTTTCCTCATGGCCCTCCGATATATGGGCTCTCAACTGAAAAGATTCACCGACTGCAAGCCACTAGTTGATGTGTGGCGCCAGGGGTCAGGAGCTGGCACTGATGCTGGCGACCCCTTGGCCTACTTATGGAGGGAGGTTTGGAGTCTGGTGTCGGACCGTGGAGTGGAGGCGGTGGAAGTGACTCGTGTTAAGGCTCACTCGCCCGCGTCCGCCGTCGCGGATGGCGCGATCACGGCGTGGCAGCGCTACGGCAACGCTCAGGCCGACACGTCTGCCAAGCGTGGTGCTGCAATGCATCCTGACGCGAAGATGCTGCGTGATGCTCACCGTGCCTCGCGCGGGGCTATCAAGATGGTCGCCCAGTTTTGCACGCGTCTTGCAGCGAGGATAGGCAATGCCACCCCGCTGGATGCTTAGGCACAGGCGCTAGGCAGGGCCATCGGAACCATCGAGGGTGGTTTCGGCCCGCCTAGGCCGCATTCTCGGTTTGATCCAGCGGTCACCTTTTGCGACCGACGTTTTCGCTGCATGGTGTGTCTTCGGTCGGCGAAGTCCCGACTAACGTTGCGCCAGCTCAAGTGCCAAGACAGGGCTGGCATGCACTCGCTTCATAGGACGGGGCCAGTTTTGTTATGTTCTCTGTGTGGCGCGTATTCTGAGAAACGCAGCCAGGGTCTCTCTGTGGAGCGCTTGCCGAGGCAGCGTCGGCTCGGCACTCAGGTGAGGGACTCTCGTTTCTATCGCCTTCAGAACCTGCGGAAGGGATGCCACCCTAACAGATCGAGTTTGTTTCTTGGGCCTCCGATTTTGCTGCGGAAGAGGAGGCTCGGCGAGACGGCTAGCATGCCGCCGCTTCCCTCGCCCCCTGAGACCTCTGGGGTTGGGAGTGGGTCGGACGTGGGGGCGGGGTGGTCGGGGCAGGAGCCTGTCTCTCCTCCTGTATCCCAGGCTGTATCGGCCTTGTGGGAGGACCTTTTTGGCCTCCCCAATGCCGGCGACTCGGACGACGACGACGACCTCTCCCGCATGGCGAGGAACTGGGTCGAATAGCGTCTCCGTCGCTGGCCTCACACATGTTTTTAAGCAGGCTGGTGCGCGTGCGGCTGGTCTTTGTCAGAGCAAAATCAGGTCAGCGCTCGGGGCGGCTCCGGGGGCACTCGAGCAACTCCCCAGCAGCCCAGCGCTGACCCGATACATGTTCTGACCCCCAGACCCAGGCCCCCGACGTCGTGATCTCTTCACCACGTCGGCCCCCTCAGGTCTGGACCGCTTCCCCGGCAGCGGCTTTTCATCCCGAGTCGTTTTTCTGACGGTCCCGAGGCCCGGTACTTAAGGGCCCCTGGGGGGCGAAAGTAGCGAAAAGCCTCCCGCGCAACGCGAGGGGCTCTGGGGAAAGGGCGTGCGCACCGGAACCTCGGAGGAGGTCCGCGCAGATCTCGTGGGCCCCCCCCATGGACGGGCCAGGGGAGAGGCCCAGCGCTGACCATGGAGGCTCCGCGCGGACCGCCATCACCTGTGCACGTTCCTTCCGTTCCTCGCAGACATGCGATGTATTGTATTTTTTTCTCTAGCTCTTTCGGCCGCGCTCTCCCCCGCTCCTCCTCCTCCTGTCGCATTGTGGCCCAATTCGCTCTAACGGCATGCCCGTTTAGGCCTCCCATCGCCAGCGCAGACGTCCCCTGCCCAGCCGCCGACGAGAAAACTTTGTTTCTCTAGTCCTCCTGCACGTTCCGCACCTTCCGCGCGGCAGGTGCCGCGCTGCCGCGGCCGCCGCCGCGGCCGCAGCCGCGGCCACGGTCGGGGCCGCTGCGGCGGCCGCGGCCGCCGCCGCGGTCGCATCGCCGCGGCACCTTCCACGCGGAAGGTGCGGAATGTGCAGGTCGAGGGCTTGATGGGGTCCGAGTAGCTAGGGTCGGAGGATGGCGCCGCATCGGCGATGCATCGGTGAAACAGCACGATGTGGAGCCCGATTCTCTCCATGCCAGCGTCGCCGATGCATCGCCGAGGTCGCCGATGCAGCACTGGTGCGTCGGCGATGGTGCGTCGGCGATGCATCGGCGATGCATTGGCGATGTGGCGCGATCCTCCGACACCCTCTACTCGGACCCCATCTAGGAGGCCTCTATGTTCAAAGCAGGGCCCCCCAGAGGCCTCGGCACATTCCCCGGGACCCGCCGTTCGCCCCGAGCCGCTCTCTGACGGCCCTGGGGCCCGGCGAGGGACCCCCCCCTTGGGGCTGCAAGAGGAGCAGTGCACGTCCCGTCGTGTTTGTTCCTTCGTGGAAAATATCGACTACGCGTAAGAATGGCTCTCCGCCGGAGTGACCTTTGGTGCGGGCTCAGTTGGGTCCCTCGATCGCCGAACACGATAATTACGATAGTAGCGTCTTGCGCGCTTGTGTTTTGTCCCCGCGCGGCCCCCAAAATACTGCGCATCAAAGGTCATTCTTACCAAGGGTCACTCTTGCGTGTAGCCGAAAATACTGAAAATGCTTACTTGTTTCAGCGGCGCGCGCAGGGTGTCGGCCACGCGCAGAGGGGGGGGAGGTAGCGGGAGGGGGGGACGCTTCTTGGAAACACCCTTGCTTCTTAGAAGGCGCGATCTTCCTCTCTAGTTGTAAGGCTGGCGCCTTCTGAGTGGCAGCCTCCTTCTGAGCAGCCTTCCCCCCTCCCCCTGCCCCCCTCTGCGCGCCGCCGAGGGGGGTCTGGCCTCGCACTGCCAGAGGAGGCGCGCTGGGCCGCCTCGCTACTCGAGAGCGCCGCCTCCGGCGCCGCGGCCGAGCTCGCGGAGCTGCGGGCGCAGTGGCCCGAGCTGCAGGCCCAGGGGGGGCGCCCACCGGCGCACCTCGAGCGCGGACCCTGGCCAGGAGGAGGGGGACGAGCAGGAGGAGGAGGGGGAGGAGGAGGAGGAGGGGAGGGGGAGGAGGAGGAGGAGGAGAGAGGAGGAGGAGGAGGAGGTAGGAGGAGGAGGAGGAAGGAGGAGGAGGAGGAGGAGGAGGAGGAGGGAGGAGGAGGAGGAGGAGGAGGAGGAGGAGGAGGAGGAGGAGGGGTAGGAAGAGGAGTAGGAGGAGGAGGACGAGGAGGGGGAGGAAGAGGAGGAGGAGGGAGGAGGAGGGAGGAGGAGGAGGAGTGCAGCGGACCAGGAAGTGCACCTCAGCGCGAACCCTGGCAGGCCCAGCCTATGGCCCAGGCTCGGCGTGCCCAGACCCCCTCGCGTTGTCGTCGTCGTCGTCGTCGTCGTCGTCGTCGTCGTCGTCGTCGTCGTCGTCCGTCGTCGTCGTCGTCGTCGTCGTCGTCGTCGTCGTCGGCGTCGGCGTCGGCGTCGGCGTCGGCGTCGGCGTCGGCGTCGGCGTCGGCGTCGGCGTCGGCGTCGGCGTCGGCGTCGGCGTCGGCGTCGGCGTCGGCGTCGGCGTCGGCGTCGGCGTCGTGGGCGTCGGCGTCTGCGTCGGCGTCGGCGTCGTGGGCGTCGGCGTCGGCGTCGGCGTCGGCGTCTGCGTCTGCGTCGTCGTCATCGTTGTCGTCGTTGTCGTCGTCGTCGGCGTCGTCGGCGTCAGCGTCGTCGCTGTTTTTCATCATCGTCGGCGTCGGCGGCGTCGTCGGCGTCGGTGTCGTCGTCCTCTTGAGGCCTCATGGAGGAGGGTTTGTAGGACACATGGATACAAACTTCGTCGTCGTCCTCGTGAGGCCTCATGGACACAAACTCGCGCTTGATTTCGAGGAGGGTTATAGGTCCGGTGAGGCCTCATGGAGGTCGAGGAAGGGCGAGCACCTCCCGCCGTGACTTTCTCACAGCGAGAGGCGGCACGGCTTTCAAGTCATGCGAATAGCTCGGGCCTCTGGCGGCCGCTCGGGACGATCTGGGCACCCCCGGAACGCTGTCGGCGAGGCGCAGCTACTGGACAGCATCCTGAGGTGAAGGGTTTCTCCGAAGGGCTTAGGCGACCCGTCCTCCTCCCCCTCCTCCCTCCTCCTCCTCCTCCTCTCCATCCTCCTTCCTCCTCCTTCTCCTCCTCCTCCTCCATCTCCCCTCCCTCCTCCTCCTCCTCCTCCTCCTACCTCCTCCTCCTCCTCCTCCCTCCTCCTCCTCCTTCTCCTCCTCCTCTCCTCCTCCTCCTCCTCTCTCCCCTCCCCCTCCTCCTCCTCCTCCGCCTCCTCCTCCGCCTCCTCCTCCTCGGGTCGCCTACGGCCCCGAGGGAAACCGTGCATCCTGAGGCTGGAACAGAGGCGAGGGCACCCCCGAAACGCTCTCGGCGAGGCGCAGCTGCGGGAAAGCATCCCTGGACATGGGCAGCCTTCATGGGAGAGCCCACGCGAGCGTCCGAGAATGCCTCCTACATGGCAGAGGCGTGGGCCCTGGCCGACAGGCTCTCGAGTGGCGAGGCGCAGCTGTCGCAAATGATGCCGATCGAGGGTGGAAAGCCACCGTGAGTCCCCGAAAACGTCCGAAATCGGGTGTCGCGAAATGGGAGGTGATAAATGGGGGGGGGGGGGCAGCGAGGGCTGCAGAAAGGATTTGTTCCCAAAGCAATCCTCGCGGTCATGCTCGGTTAATATATCCTTTGGTGTGACGTGGTCTGATCACAACGAAAATTGCCTGGTTAACATATCCTCTGGTGTGATGTGGTCTGACCACAACGAAAACTGCCAGGAAACTAGGTTCAGTCGGCTTGGTTGCTGGGTTTTGTCTGGTAGCCGCGCCGGCTCGGAAGATAACATACAAATCACAAATGAAGCTGGAAAATGTGTCAGAGTGTCTGGAAAGCTCGAGCACGGCTGCCGGTCCAGCCGGGCATGATAAGGAGGAGCAGGAGGGGGCGAAGGCGCAAGAAGAGTGCCGGGGCACGCGGGTACAGCTTTTGACGAAGTCCTGAATTGGGTGGGGGCGAAGCAGAGCCAAGCCCCCTGGGGCCCACGAGAGCCTTCTAGAGCCCTTAGAGCTGTTTTGTAGGGCACAAAGGGGGGCTTCTAAATCATGAGAAGTTAATTTTTCTTCCCCCCATTGATCGGTCCCCCACTGAGCGACGCCCGACGAAAACGTCACACCTTGGCATCCGCCGAGGTGATTTTTTGAGGTCCTGGACCGCTTCCCCGGGGGTATAGGCTTGCGCCCCAGATCCGTTCTTGATGCCCATTCTGGGCCGTTTTTCGACGGTCCCGATGGCCCGAAGGGGCCCCCGGGGGGCCGAAAATAGCGAAACACCTCCCGTAGTGATTTTGTCACGACTCGAGGGGGCCTGGGGACCCCGTGCTGACCAAATCAGGACGTCGCGAACGCCAGGGGCGCGCGGGGAGGCACACTTCTCGGGCGCCAGCGGGCGGGCGACTTGCCCTGCAGTGCACCCGCCATCGGTTGGGAAGCAGGCATTTTCTGTACTCCTCCTCCTCCTCCTCCTCCTCCTGCTCGTCCTCCTCCTCCTCCCCCTCCTCCTCCTCCTCCTCCTCCTCCTCCTCCTCTCCTCCTCCTCCTCTCCTCCTCCTCCTCCTCCTCCTCCTCCTCCCTCCTCCTCCTCCTCCTCCTCCTCCTCCTCCTCCTCCCCTCCCCCTCCTCCTCCCTCCTCCTCTCCTCTCCTCCTCCTCCTCCTCCTCCTCCTCCCTCCTCCTCCTCCTCCCATCCTCCTCCGCTCCTCCTCCCTCCTCCTCTCCCTCCCTCCACCTCCTCCTCCTCCTCCTCCTCCTCCTCCTCCTCCTCCTCCTCCTCCCCCTCCTCCGCCTCCTCCTCCTCCTCTTTGGCGCTTCGCTCTCGCAGCACCTCCACGGCAAGCGGCGAGCACCGCGCTCGAGGACTCACGTATAATCACTCCCTCGGCTCGTGAGGGCGCATCATGGTTGTGTCGTCGGCCTTGGGCTTGTCAACCTTCCCTTCTCGAGCGCCAGCGGGTGGGCGACTCGCCATGCCGTGAGCCCGCCGTCGGTTGGGAAGCAGGCAACTTCTTCTGCTCTGTGGCACTTCGCTCCCACACCCCAGACCCCCTCGCGCTGTGAAAGAATCACGACGGGAGGTTTCTCGCTACGTTCGGCCTCCGTGGGCCCCTACCGGGCCTCGGGGCCGTCAAAGACCGACTCGAAGGCTGCAAAACCGGTCCCGGGGAAGGGGTCCAGACCTTTGGGGGTCGACGTTGCGAACAAAATCGCGATGTGGGGGGTCTGGGAGCACCGCCACGGCAAGCGGCGAGCACCGCGCTCGAGGACTCACATATAAGCACTCCTTCAGCTTGTGAGGGCGCACCCCTGGTTGTGTCATCGGCCTGGGGCTTGTCAATCTTCTTTGAAATCCGACGTAGCGACATCGTACAAAGTCACACCCAGAGCCCTATAGACCCCCTCTTTCCGCACCATTTTTCGAGCTGCATCGTTCTGTGAGGGCCCTGGGACCCCTAAAAGAGGCAGAAACGCCCGGGCTCGAAAACATTGAGACGCCAGGATCTCAGGGGGCTCTCGTGGCCTCCTGGAAGTTTTCTGGCCCCCCGGAGCTCCAACGACGTCTGGGCCGGGGAACCTACTCTCGATGCCGAGGCTCTCCGTGCCCCCCCCCCCTTTCGAGTAGGGGATCGACTGCAGAATCGATGTATCCCCACATGGATGTGTTTGTTCGGCGAGCCCATCAACAACTGCGCAGCATGTTTGCAAATCTGCGGAGGGCTCTGCGTATCTTCGTGAGTCCTCGACGAAGAAAACACATGTTGGAGCAAATCAATCCTGTAGTCGATCCCCTGCTCCACCCCTGGCCATGCCCATCCTGGGCCCGGCATCGGCGCACACGCCCAGATCTCGGGCGATTTGGGTTTTGCTACCCAGGCGTTGTTTCACGCATGTCGGCCCTCGTTGGCAGCGCGCAGAGGGGGTAGGGCGAGGGGGAAGGCCTATCAGGAGCACCCCTACTTCTTAGAAGGCGCGAGCCTTGTCTGTAGGTGTAAGGCCCGCGCCTCCTGAGAAGCAGCCTCCCTCTGAGAAGCCTTCCCCCCTCCCCCTACCCCTTGCGCGCGCCCCCCAGTCATCATTCCCCCATTATCCTGAGACCCGACGAAGCAGGAAAAATGCAACATCGCAAATCAAAAGCAACAAAAACACGCCCGCCATTTTTCGAGCTGGATCGATTTCTGAGGGCCCCAGGGCCGGAAACTGATCAAAGACGCCCGGCTCGAAGAACAAAAACTAAGCGCCAGGATCCCAGGGTCAAGCGACGCTCCGGGGCGCGACATGGAGCGAAAAAGCGCCCGGCTCGAAGAAAAAGTTGAGGCGCCAGGCTCTCAGGGTTTTGAGCGACGCCCCAGGCGAGCACCGCGCGCGAGGGGGAGCGGCTGTGCGCGGAGGAGGCGGCGGCGGAGCTCGCGCGCGCGGAGCTGCAGAGGGCCCGCTCGGTAGCAGATCATGGGAGCCTGGTATACCCTCTTAATTTTGGCCTTCACTGTCGATTCGCGTCGATCGGCGTCTGGGCGGCGTGGATGAGACATCGCGCCGATTTGGCGTCGGCTGTAGCGTCGATCGGCGTCGATGTAGCGTCGATTGGCGTCGATTGTAGCGTCGATTCCAAGAGCCGACAAGGTGCAGCGAGCGGCTTCAATAAGGAACACTTGCTTTTCGAGAGGAGCTCGGTCGTTCCTTTGGTTTGCATGCGTTCCGCTACCCTTCTGGCGGCGAGCCCCCCTGGTGTTCCTGCAGATTTTGGACGCGCGGGCTGGTTTGACCGATGAGGGGCTCGGCCGTTCCCTCGGACTTCTTAGACTTACCTGGAACAAAAAGGGCTTCGTTCCTTAGTTATCGTTCCTTGTGTCACGCCGATCACTGTGATGTGGGAGGCTCCCATGAGTTGCCACAGAAGGCCCGTGCCGGGCTGGGGGCCGCGGGGGTGCCGGCCGCCAGCCCGCCGAGCGCGGCGGCGCGCAGCGGCGGCCCCTCGCCATGGAGGGGCCTCCCCACGCGGAGGGTTTCTCCGAAGGGCTTAGGCGACCCCTCCTCCTTCCTCCTCCTCTCCCTCCTCCTCCTCCTCCTCCTCCTCCTGCATCTCCTCCTCCTCCTCCTCCTCCTCCTCCTCCTCCTCCTCCTCCCCTCCTCCTCCTCCTCCTCCTTCTCCTCCTCCTCCTCCTCCTCCTCCTCCTCCTCCTCCTCCTCCTCCTCCTCCTCCTCCTCCTGGGGTCGCCTACGGCCCCGGGGGAAACCAACCGTGCATCCCCACGGTCGAGCAATGACGAAGCGTTCTGGCGTGCCTATAGGCCCATCAAGCATGTTTCAAAGATCTTTCTGCGTCTTCTACGACATGTTCTTAGAACAGTTCTGGCCGGGGCTGTTTTGTTTGCACCTCTCAGGGTTATGTTCTGAGAACCGTTCTTTTTGTTATTCGGACATTTTGGGGTTCTAAGAACACGTCGTGCTATTCCCATAAGCTATAGGAACGCCGGGAAGGTCGGTCCCTGCTCAACCCACGGGCCCCCTCGCCAAGCAAAGCGCCGCGGATCCCTGAGATCCTGGCGTCCCAATGTTTTCGAGCCGGGCGTTTTTTCGCCTCTTGTCGGGCCCCGGGGCCCTCACAGATCGATCCGGCTCGAAAAATGACACGGAATGAAGAGGTCTGGGGTTCTGGTCGTTTTTTTTGGGTGTTCTTGGCGATGTTGCAGCTTTTTCGCTACGTCGGATCTTGGGGCACGCTGGTTTCGAAAGCGCGCCTTGCGCGAATGCTCGTAGCGCGCGGCTGGCCTCGCGGACTGGGGGGCCGTGCCCTCCCGTCGCAGCTCGGACGCCGGCATCTCACCATTGGAGCTCGCACCACGGCGGCGCCTTCCGCGCGGAGGGGGGCGGAAGGTGCAGGTCGCGGGTAGGGCCGCCACCCGTCGCATGGCGGACAGCGACCCGCAGGCCGCGTCCCCGCTGGCACTCGCTGGCCACAGCTCCGGCCTCCCTCCTCCTCCTCCTCTTCCTCCTCCTCGTCCTCCTCCTCCTCCTATTCCTCCTCCTTCTCCTCCTCCTCCTCCTCCTCCTCCTCCTGCATCTCCTCCTCCTCCTCCTCGTCCTGCTTCTCCTCGCGGCCGCATTCGGGACGATGCGGGCGCCCCCGGAGCGCCCTCGGCGAGGCGCAGCTGCCCGAGAGCTCCCCTCGATGCCTGGAGAGCCGACGGGGGCCCACGGAAGCGCCCGATCAGTCTTCGAGCCCAGAGGGGGCCCAGCCCAGGGACACACACACACACAAATGAACACATAGACACACTACGCCAGGATTCCCCACTCAGTTTTCCCCGCACTCTCTTGAGGCTCGCCTTCCCCATCCGCTCTCCCCATGTTCCAAATGTGACCTGGGAGGTCACGATGATTTGTGTCTGTGTGCTGTTTCCCTGGCCCCGGTCTGAGCGGGCCAGGCATTCCGTTTCCCTCCTGCCCGCGCCAGGCGTCCTCCTTCCCCCGTGCATCGCGGCCCCATTCGCGTTTCGTGTGCCCCACTGACGCTTCTTCGCCAGCGCAGTGACTCTGCCTAGCCGCCGACACAAAAATTGTTGTTCCCCCTCCTGACTGTCGTCCCCCCCCCCCCGAGCGGCCCTCTCTGAGCATTTTCTTAGGGTGGAGGGAGGGCTCAGGGTGAAATCCATGTGGGCTTTTGCACCTCGAGAACCGCTCCGTCTTGTGACTCACCCTGTGCAGATTCAAGCCTCGAAAAACAGTCGAAGCAGCATTTCAGATTTCACCCTTTGCCCTCCACCCAGAGAACATGCTCGGCCTGTGGCGGGGCCGCTGCTGCGCGCGGCCGCCGAGCGGCCGCGGCGGGGGGGCTGCCGCTGCGGCGGGGGACGGCGCGCGGCGCCCGCTCGGCGGCGCCCGCGAGGGCGAGGCCGCGCGCGTGCTGGACCGCCGCGCCAGGGTCTGCCCCGAGAGCGTCTGAGAGCGGGGAGCAAAAGGCGGGCGGCGCTTCCTCCGCCCGAGGCGCCGAGGGCACCGGTGGCCAGCGAGTCCGTCCGACGCAGCCATCCCTCATCCTCCTCCTCCGCCTCCTCCTCCTGTCTCTCTCCTCCTGCTGCTGCTCCTCCTTCTCCTGCTGCTCCTCCTCCTCCTCCTGCTGCTCCTCCTCCTCCTGCTGCTCTCCTCCTCCTGCTGCAGCTGCTTCTTCCTCCTCCTCCTCCTCCACCTCCTCCTCCTCATCCTCCTCCTCCTCCTCCTCCTCCTCCTCCTCCTCCTCCTCCTCCTCCTCCTCCTCCCCCTCCTGTCTCTGTCCTCATGCTCCTGCTCCTCCTCCTCCTGTCTCCCTCCACATCCTGCTCCTCCTCCTCTCTCCTCCTCCTCCCTCCTCCTCCTCCTCCTCCTCTTTCCTCCTCCTCCCTCCTCCTCCTCCTCCTGCTGCTGCTCCTCCTCCTCCTCCTCCTGCTCCTGCTCCTGCTCCTATCTCTCTCCCCCTTCTTCTTATGTTCTGTTCCAGAGGCATCGAGGATGAACCCGCAGCCTGCAAACGTGAATCCCGACGCGACTATGCTACAGGTCTGACCTCTTCGTGCTACTGTAGTCCCTGCCGCACTGCCCCCAGCTGCGCGAGGCAACATACGGGTCGAGGGGGCAGAGGAGGTCGCAGAGAGGGGGGGGCAAGGGGGTGGTGGGTCTCCTCTGCTCCATCCTGGCCGACCTCACCCTCCCCTCCCTGGGAGTCGCGCCTGACGTCCTGGCTGAAAACAGCCACGTGCCACGCCAAGAAGGCGCACAGCTCTGGGGAGTACTGCTTAGCACTGGCAGTAACCCAGCCGCTTACGCTGCTCCGCCCTTGGAGAGCCTTGTGCCCCCCTTGTATGGGAGCACCTGCCTCGAGCTGGGGTCTTCTCGAACTCTCGATTCACGCTCGAGAGGTTGACAGTCAGCAGCTGTGTCGGCTTCTTAGAGGCTGGATCGAACATGCATAGATCTGCCGAGCGATGTCAGTGGAGAAACGCTCCCGAGCCAGCAAACGAACGTGCTCGGTCTCCTTCACAAGCCAGGAGCTGGGGGGCAGAACGTTGAGTGGTGCAGCTGGATGCTCGAGGATTCCACACGCGCCGGTTGCAAGGCAACAATTCGTGAGATACATCGCGGCACGGCAGAAATCATTTGCCGTACCGATATGTTGCCACTCCTTCCTAAGTGGCAAGCGGGAGGCCTCAGAGGGACGTGAGCGAACGTAGCGCACGGGGTCCTCCCCCTTCGGAGAGCTTCAAGTGCTTAGATGAGGACCATTTTTCACAGGGGTGGGCCTGCGGGGGCGCCGATTGCCCTCCCCTCTCAAAGAAAATATTGCGAAGTTGTTCTAAGGCCATTTCGGACCTCAAGTCTCTGTGCACTGGGTCATTCGTTAACTATATCGACTGACAGCGCAGCTGCTGAGCCTGACGTCAAGCTCATTTTCTGAAGCATCTCGAAATTGTACTTGACATGGTGTGAACGTCCTCGCCCACTGAACGAAGGCAGGACATACCGACATACCTTCCGCCTTCTCCTCCTCCTCCTCCTCCTCCCCCTCCTCCTCCTCCTCCTCCTCCTCCTCCTCCTCCTCCTCCTCCTCCTCCTCCTCCTCCTCCTCTCGCTCCCGCTGCTGCTGGCCGCATGGGTAAAGGATGGAGGACGAGATCGAGAGTTAGGCCTCTGAAGGTCACAGACTGCCAACCAGCACCGCGCATGTGGTGGAGAGCTTACCTGGTCGCCCTACCTCATTGCAGTCGGCCTAGAAACCACACGGATGGCAGTATACTACTCATGGTGCATCGCGCACTCGGTATGAATGCTAGCACCCATCGCACAAACCCACAAAAGAGCAGCACACACGACAAAATGAGCAAAGATAGCCTCCGTTCTGATGACGCACGCTGCTTCCACGATCGGGTCACCTCGCGGCGCACGGGTGGCGGAACAAAGGGAGGTTGCGAGAGAGCGCGCTGCTTGCTGCTGCTGCTGCTGCTGCTGCTGCTGCTGCTGCTGCTGCTGCTGCTCGCCCTCCTTTTGGGTCTGCCCAGAGAGCGGCCGAGGGCGCGAGCAAACAGGCGGGCGGCCCACCTCCGGTGCAGCCGCTTCTTGTCGGCGCGTCTCTCGACTGGCCCTTTCCTCCGGGCCCGTGCGCGCGCGGGCAGCGCGGCCCCTCGGCCTCCTTGTTCGGCGGCCCCTCGGAGGCCCCTCGGCGGCTCCTCGGCGGCCCATCGGCCCCCCGTTTCGGCGGCCCATCGGCGGCTCCTCGGCGGGCCCTCGGCAGGCCCCCGACGGCCCCTCGGCGGGCCTCCGCGCGGCGCTCGTGCGGCGCTCGCGCTGGGCAGCCCCTGCTGCGCCGCTGCTCGCGACTCGGCAAGGTGGCGTACGCCCTGCTGGTAGTCCTGCTGTTCGCCGAGCTGGGGGCGAGCCGCCTCACACCCCCCGCTTGCGGACTCCATCGCCAGACGCCAGAGGGGGAGCAACGGAGGAGGAGGAGGAGGAGGAGGAGGAGGAGGAGGAGGAGGAGGAGGAGGGAGGGAGGGGAGGGAGGAGGGAGGGAGGGAGGGAGGAGGGGGGAGGGAAGGAAGGAAGGAAGGAGGGAGGAGGAGACGGGAGGGAGGGAGAGGGGGAGGGAGGGAGGGAGGGGGCAAGTAGCAGGAGGAGGAGGAGGAGGAGGAGGAGGAGGAGGAAGAGGATGAGGATGAGGACCAGTGTAAAGGGGAGGTCTATCAACGACGTTGTGGATGAACTCCCTCCACGCTCCGTGTTCACAGGTCCCGACACGGTTCATGTTCATTGATGGAAGTGTCCCGTTGGAAGACAACCGTTAGGCAATCCTGAATTGTGCTTGATCATCATTCTTGGGATTTCAATGCCGCGGATCAATGATGTTGTTGCGTCTTGACGATCCTGAATCGTGCCAGGGCAATCATCGTAACTGTTGCGCTTTGACAGTCCCACACCGCGCCAAAACACCATGTTTGGGATGTCAACTACGAGAGCCCTTGAAACTGCTGCTCTTCAGGCGAAAGCTCGCGACGCTGAGGCGAACACCGCATTTTGAAAAGGTGTCGCTCGCCATCCATGAAGTGCATGTGACCTTCCAAACCAATGCGCGCTGCTCTGAGGCGAGAGCCACACTTTGAAAAGGTATCGCCCTCCATCCGTGAAGGCGAATGTTCGCGGCGCTAAACTAGTGCCACATATTGAGAGCGACCCGCCCTCCATCCGCGAAGCCCTTGCTATCTTCGAAACGAATGTGCGCGTCGCTGATGCGGGAACAACGTTTTGAAACCGGCCCGCCCTCCACCCGTGAAACCATGGCATACGTTAGGCCGAAGTACGGCAAATCGTGGTGAGGTCTCACGCGAAACGCCCAGTCCGTCCAATTGAAACGCCTCGGGGTGTGACAGGGAGGAGTTGCTTATAAGGAAAAGGGATGGAGAAGGAAGAGGAGGAGGATGAGGAGGGAACGGAGGAGGAGGAGGAGGAGGAGGAGGAGGAGGAGGAGGAGGGGGAGGAGGAAAAGGGCGTGCAGGTTGCTGCAGATGTGGCTTGCGAAGTCCGCTTCCGACGCGCCTGCTGCTGAGGAGGACGGGGGGGATGGGAAGGGGAGGAGGAGGAGGAGGAGGAGGAGGAGGAGGAGGAGGAGGAGGAAGATGAGGAGGCGAAGGAGGAGGATGAGGTGAGCGAGGGGTATATGGAGGAAGCGAGGGACGGCGGGAGGGAGGAACGGAGGGAGGGAGGATGGAGGGAGATGAGGGATGTTGGTATGCACGATAACATGGCAACCTCGCTTGTTGCGGCACTCTGCTGCAGTAGAGGCGAATATCTATGGTGGGGCCGTCGACCGCCTAACTGTACATCCCATCCGAGGTGATGAAGGAGCAATCGCTTTCAAATGCAACAACCGGTTGGCGGGAGCACACTACATGACTTCACAGTGTGCGTTATGCGCGGCAAGAGCCCTGATCCCTGAGGACACCATTCCACGTTCTAGAAACCGAGCTGAGGATGCCAGACTTTTGCCGCAACTGCCAGCCCAGCATGCCCAACAATTGCAAGTACGGGCATGCAGAGCGGCGGGCAGCACGGCAAAGCAAACATGTCGCGCCCTCTTTACATGGCAGTTCTGGCGAGCAGCCTGCTGCCGTTTGCGCCGCCAGCCTCCACGACGGGCGGGCGGGCGAGCCACGTCGCCGACGTCGTATTCGTCGTCGTCGTGGGCGAGGCGTTCGGGTTAGCGGTCGGGACACGTCGTAGTCGTGATCGGTGAGCCAGGCGGGCGGGCGGGGCACGTCGTTCGTCGACGCTGTCGCCGCCGTCGTCAACGCTTACCACCGCGCGGGGGGGGGGCGTCGTTTGAGCCATCCCACCTTGCGCGAGGTGGTAGGGCGGGTGGCGCGGGATTGGACCTCCCCCTCAACGTTGTCTGATTCGGGGCGGGGTCCCCCAGCTTGCCGGACGCCCGGGGTGTTGTGGGACAGTCAAAAACCTCCCCCCCCGAGCGAATGCAGAACTCGCCTCTTCTCCGATGCTCGGATCGCCGACAGCGTTGGTATTGACGGTCGTCGTGGTCGATCCCCCTTCCGTGGCACGAGGATGCCAAATTGAGACCCTTTCGTATTCTATGTGCCGTTAGCGTCGGTTGTGCCTCGCTGACATGGCACTGGTTCGCAGAAGGATGCCACCCCGCGAGCTCCACACTGGATCTGTGAGCTTTCATTTCTTTTGTCTGGATTCCTCCTCCTTCTCCTCCTCCTCCGCATCCTCCTCCTCTGTTCCATTTCCTGATAAGCACTTCCTCCCTGTCGCACCCTGAGGCCAGTCGGAAGGGCGGGGCGGGCGTTTCGCTTGAGACCTTCTGAGATTTATGACCCTGAATCTGAACCAGTGGCAACAGCTTCACAGATGGAGGGCGGGTAGCTTCAAAAATGTGGCTCTCGCCTTAGCGCCCGCGCATTCGTCTTCAAGGATGCAAGAGCTTCACGGGTTGAGGGCGGGTCGTTTTCAAAATGTGGTGCTCGCCTTGGCGCCGCGCATATTCGTCGTCAATATTTTCAAGAGCTACACGGATTGAGGGCGGGTCGTTCTCAATGTGTGGTTCTCGCCTTAGCGCCTCGCATATTCGTCATCATGATTTGCAAGAGTTCACGGGTTAAGGGTGGGTGGGTCATTTTCAATATGTGTTTCTCGCTTTGGCTCCGCGAGCATTCATGTTCGTAAAACAAATATTTGCGAAGAACTCAGCCCTTTCTAAACACTCGGCTGCTGCGAATACGACCGTGTAATATCCACATTGCAGGAGCTGCAGTGCCCCTGAACTCTTCGCTGACGAGGACCAGACGGCACGCAACGTTGCCCCCATCACGCACGCACTCTCACGTCTCAGATCGCAGAGGGGGGTGGCACGAAGCGCGCGAGGGGTGTGCCGAACTGGGGCGGGCCACCATGCGGACGCAGCCAGTGGGGCCTTCGGTGGAGCCCCCTATGGGGTCACGCAGCGTGTGAGGAGTGCGACGACATGGGGCGGGCCACCATGCGGACGCAACCATTGGAGCCTTCGGTGGAGCTCCCTATGGGGCGATGGAGCGTGTGAGGGGTACGCCAAAATGGGGTCGGAAACCATGCGGATGCAGCCGCTGGGGCATTCGGCGGAGCTCCCGATGGGGCCACGAGGCGTGTGAGGGGTGCGCCGCACTGGGGCGGGTCACCATGCGGACGCAGCCACTGAGGCTTTCGGTGGAGCTCCCTTCGGGGATCTAAAAAATGCGAGAAATGCGCAGGAATGGGGCGGGTCACCATGCGGACGCAACCATTGGGGCCTTCGGAGGAGCTCCCGATGGGGCCACGAAGCGTGTGAGTGGTGCGCTGTAATTGATCGCGGGTCATCATGCGGACGCAGCCACTGGGGCCTTCGGTGGAGCTCCCGACGGGGCCGCGAAACGTGTGAGGGGTGCGCCGAAATGGAAGAGGAAGAGGATGAGGAGAGGAGAGGAAAGGAAGAGAGACTGAGAAACAGGAGACGCGCGGCGCTGCGACTTCAAGGCGGGGCCCAACACCCAGGAGGGTTGGAACTTACAGGAGCTTCACGGACTAAGGGCGAGTGGTTTCCAAAATGTGGTTCTCGCCTTAGCCGCGCGCGTTCGTCTTCAAGAATTTGCAAGAGCTTCACGGGTTGAAGGCGGTGCTTTTTCAAACTGTGGTTCTCGCCAAAGCACTGCGCACATTCGTTTTTAAATTTGTGCAAGAGTTTCACTGGTTCCCATGGCTAACGTACCAGATTTGATGTTTTGGAACGAGTCTGGATTCTCAGGGCGCAAGAGTTACGTTGATTCGCGGTGTTGAAGTCCCAGGACTGGCGTTCTGGCGCGATTCAGGATCGTCAAGACGCAACAGGCTGGTTGATTCGTGGCGTTGATGTCTTGAGAATGTTGTTGTGGCACGCTTAAGGATCTTCAAACGGTTGTCTCCCAACGGGGCACTTCCCTCAGTGGAAATGAATCCTTGTAGGGGCCTGTGAAGAGGGAGCTTGGAGGGAGTGTTTATTCTAACACCGTTGCCGAGTCTTGGGTTTACACTGGCCCCTCCTCCCTCCTCCTCGTCGTCCTCCTGTCCCCATCTGCCCGAGTCCGGCGCCACTGCAGGTTTCGTATTATTTGTGCATCCACGGTAGTTGGCCACGGACTGAATGTGAGAATGTCCATTTATGTTCGCCATCTCTCGCAGGACAGCCCGTCGATGTGGCTGGACACCTCAGTTCCGCTCGCGTGAACGCCATTTGAGGTAGCTCAGTGGCTTCACGCTTGCGTCGCCGAGTTTGTGATCGTGCTGCTGTGTCCGCTCCCCTGCCTCCCCATCCACAATCCCTGAGATCCGACAGTGCAAAAAAAATGCAACATCGCAAAAAATCGCGACCGGAGCCCTGGAGCCCATCTGCGTCATTTTCGAGCCGGTTGAGCGAAAACGCCGGTTGCGAAAAGAATGCAGCGCCAGGATCTCAGGGAGCGTGCGCGGAGAAACACACACACGTCAGGTTTTTCTCGAGGACCACGCCCGATGCTCAAGTTGGGTCCCCTGCAGGGGAGCGACGGCAGTCGCGCCTCGCTCGCGACTTTTGGGCCGGAGGGCTGCCCTTCTTCAGGCCTCGGCGCGAGGGCGCGAAGATACCCCGCGCCGCGTCTCGCGGGGCGTGACGCGCGAAGACAGGCGACCCCGCAGACCCCCGACGTCATGATTTTTGTCACAGCCTCGACCCCCCAGAGGTCCGGACCCCTTCCCCGGGACCAGGCTCTCGTCCTCAGTCGTCTCTTGACGCTCCCGAGGCCTGACCTAAGGAACGATAAACAAGGAACGACGCTCATTTTGTCCAAGGAATGACGCACAAGGAACGATTAATAATACATAACGCATGAGGAACGGTAAATAACGCATGCGAGCCTAAGAAGCGACCGAGCCCTTTTTGAAAAGCAAGTGTTCCTTATTCAAGCCGCTCACTGTAAGGGCCCCCAGAGGCCGGAAATAGCAAAAGGCCTCCCTTTTTGCGCAACGCAAGGGGATCTGGGCCCTCCCCCTCCTCCTCCTCCTCCTCCTCCTCCTCCTCCTCCTCCTCCTCCTCCTCCTCCTCCTCGTCCTCCTCCTCCTCCTCCTCCTCCTACTCCCCCTCCTCCTCCTCCTCCTCCTCCTCCTCCTCCTCCTCCTCCTCCTCCTCCTCCTCCTCCTCCTCCCCCTCCCCCTCCTACTCCCCCTCCTCCTCCTCGGGTCGCCTGCGGCCCCGGGGGAAACCGTCCACGCCCAGAGCCTCGAGCTCCGTAAGAGCGGAGCGCCGCCGTGGCGCCGCGCTCGTTGCCTCGGCCATCTGGCGATGCGCGTGCCCGTTCTCACTACCAGCTTCGAGTCGGGCCTGTCCCTCGACAGGAGGAATATTCAAAAATATTCCGACAAAAGCAGTCTAGGGACCATGCTTGAGAATATGTTGGCTATTGTTTCATATGGTTGAGTATGTTCTTCTTTTCGTCCAAAATCCGCCTGTAGGGGGACATGCCCGACCTAACACTACCAGTATCAACTCGGGCATGCGCCTCTACAGGGGGAATCTTCAAGGCAGTGGAACAAATCATGTGGGGCGATGCTTCGTGCTCGTTTGATGATGTTTGGATTGCCTTTCTGGATTGTGTTTAGTTTCTCTTTCAGAATCCACTTGTAGGTGTAATATTCGAGAATAGACAAAAAATGAGGGGACAATGTTTTTCCAATGTCTGCCTATGTTTGGTTACGTGTTGATTGTTTTTATTCCAAAATCCGCATGTAGAAGATTGTGCCCGACCTAACATTACCAAGAATCACCCGCCCCATCCCTCCCGTCCCTGCCCCCAAGCTGGTCTGGGCGGCAAGTGGGTCTGTGAAACTGCTGCTCGGAGCCACTCGTACATCCGTCCATGATGTTTCCCCCTTTCCCAGCCAATCGCTCTACATGGCTTCAGATTGGTCAGCTCGGCATCGGACTAATCTTGCGTGGCATCACGTGTCACTGTTTCAGATCGATGATGCTCCACCCAGCTGCTGCCTGAACCTGCAGGGCCCGACGGCAGAAGTCGTTGACTGCAAGAGCGGGGATCGCACACTGCGTGCCTGGTCTTCTGGATCAGTGTGCATACGGGGCGGCCCATTCGTTTGCTGGTGCCAGGGTAGCCCCGGAGGTCGCTCCGGCTTCTGTCAAAAAACCTCGGCGCAGGCTGCTTGCTTGCAGCGTGTGCCGAGAGGCCTTTTCTAAGCGTTTCCCAACACGCGTGCCCGGAAGCTCTCCAGAAGGTCCTTCAGAAGCTCTTGCCAGGTCCTTCCAGAGTTCTTCGCCAGGCCTTTTCCACGCCCTTCGGGCGCCCTGCCATCCGGGTGTTGAACCCCACAAGTGCTTTTCTGCTCAGGGATCACTACGAGGTGACTCGTAGAGCTTCCTTGATAGCGAGGCAGCGGGAGCTGAGAGTAATACGGGATCAGCGCGACAGCGCGCCACCGCCGCACGTCGCCTCAATCCGTAGCCGTTGTGGCTCGCGGCTGGCCGTGCCTCGAGGCCTGACAGAGCACAGCCGACGCAGCGGCACATCCCCAGCAGGCGCGCGCCGCGTGCCGGCGTGCCGAGGGGCCTCGCGGCCGATGTTCGACAGGGCCAGGGAGCAGGCGGCCAGCCTCGCAGAGAAGGTGATCGCCTTTTCTGTTCCTTGTTTTGCCGATCGGCGCGGGCCCCCTCCCCCCCCTCCCCCCCCCGCCCCTGTTCTTTGGCGCCTGTTTCGAGCGGGCGGAGTCGCCCCCAGAGGCTTGCAAACAGTCGCACGAAGCAGATGCCTGGAGCCAGACCCCCCCCCTTTTCCCCTCCCCCCCTTATCCGCCCAATGTCGAAACGCCGAATAAGAAAACGCTCAGAAGGGGGCCGACTACGCGCGCGTAGGCGTCGACAAGGCGCAGAACTTCCACTCCTACGCCTCGGCGCAGGCCAAGGAGCAGTCCGCCGCCCTCGCCGAGGCGGGCTACGGTCTGAAGGAGAGCGCGGGAGCCATCTACGACGCGAAGAAAAAGGAGGGCATGACCCAGCTGTTCGACATGGCCGCGGGGCCCCAGAAGAAGATGCTCTTCGCCCTGCGGGAGGTCGTGAAGGACGGTGCCGTGGCCGACCCCTACATGGGCGAGTGGATCAAGACCCGCATCAAGGACACCATCGACCTTTTCTGGGTGGACCTGGAGAAGTACCTTGACATGGCCCGCGACGACTTGCGCGACCAGAAGACTGGCAAAATGACCGCGAAGATGGAGCTGTTGGAGGGGGCGGGCGCCGATGAGAAGATGATGACGTGCTGCCTGTACTGGTGGCGAAGTAAAGTCCTCTACGCGTGGTGGCCCTTCGACATATCCATCTTTGGTCAAGCCAGGGACCCGCTCTTTTGGATCCTGACGATCCTCTCGTGCCTGACCGGGTTTGGCATCCGGATCATCACCTGCTCGATCATACTCCTCTTCATAGTCTTGGGGCGCCCTGCGGACGAGTACCAGATCACGCAGTTCATCCTGACCTTCAAGGGCCTGCAGTTCATCTCCAGCGGCGTGGTGCTCGGCATCATTGCGGCCGTGAAGTACTACATGTGCGTCTACCCAGACGGCACGCACACATGCAATGTGGACGGTCCGGGCGCGACGCAGGATGTCTGGCAGGGCATCGTCGACTGGCTCGGCAGCAGCCTCCTCGTGTGGGTTGCGTTTGCGTTCCTGCCCTGCAGCGACCGCACCGCTGGACTGCGCGAGATCGGGACCGAGGACGCAGAAGCACTGGCTAGGGAGGACAATGACGCGGTGAGCACCAAGGGATGCTGCGGGCAGAACAAGTGGGACAGGGGCAGGGGTCAGAGGAGGAAACGGGTTCCCATACCGCTGCCCTTGTCTCGTTTCCGCCTTTTTGGGCCTCCTGGGAGGCCCTCGTCGCCACCGCTGGGTTCGCCTCGAAATTCTGGTCAGAACGCACCTGGGAGAGATCCGAGGAGTAGTGTTATCGGTACCTGTTGGTTTCCTCAAGAGGGGGCCGCTTGAGGGGATTGATGACATACGACCTGGTGTGCTTTCTCTTGAGCTCTGCTTTCTTGTGTTTCTTGATGTGGCGCGACATGGTCAGGGCCAACAGAGCGAATCTGGACTTGAACGGGATCGGGCAGGAGGCAGACTCCCCCGAGGGCCACGTCGCCTTGTTCTGGGCCCGCATGCTATACTCGTTCATGGCCCTTCCGTTCACCTTCTTCAAGATCCCTGGCATCTTCGACATATTGACCCATACGGTGCCAACAGGCTATAATCGTCACGGCAAGTGCGTGCCGTACATGCTGAAGCAAGAGCTCTAGATTCCAGGTCTTTTTCTTCCTGTCCTCTCGTGTTCTCCCCACTGGTTTTTGCATTGGCGCCCCTCTTCTGCGTCTGCCACTTGTAGTTCGTGTGCTAGTGTCTGCAAGTCGTGCCATCGTGCCAGCCTAGCAAATTGTCTCGCGATTGACCGGGAGCTGTAACGCGTGACACTTCGTGTCTTGAGGCTTGGGGGAGCCGCAGCATTCGACATATTCTTCCGCGTCGTGCCGGTGCTGGGAATGAGAATGAGGATGAATTTGATGGTTCGGAGGAAGATCCGAATCTGAGGAGTATGATTGTGGCGGACGAGTGGCATGACGAATATGTTGATATGACGATGTTGATGATGATGGTGATGATGTTGATGATGATGATAATGGTGATGATGATGATGATGATGATGATGATGATGATGATGATGATGATGATGATGATGATGGTGGCGGTCACGATGGTCATGATGACGCTGGTGAAGATGATGATGCTGCTGATCGTGATGATGCTGACGATGATGATGCTGCTGATGATGACGCTGATGATGGTGATGACGATGATGATGATGATGATGATGATGATGATGATGATGATGATGATGATGGTGATGATGATGATGATGATGATGATGATGAGGCTGACGATGATGAACATGATGCTGATGCTGCTGATGCTGAGTATGATGATGACGATGATGACGATGACGATGACAATGATGATGTTGATGATAATGATGATGATGGTGATGCTGATGATGATGATGATGCTGGTGATTATGATCATGAGGGATGATGCTGCTGGTGATACTGATGATGTAGTGAGGGTGATGATGACGGTAGCATCGATGATCGCGATGATGATTCATGTCATGGTGGTGGTAATGACGACGCTTAGTATGGTGATCGTGGTGGTGATGCTGGTGATGTTGACACCGATGCTGCTAGTGATGATGGTGGTGATGATGGTGGTGACGATTACGTTGATTCTGGTGATGCTAATCACGATGATGGGGAGGGGGAGGAGGAGGAGGAGGAGGAGGAGGAGGAGGAGGAGGAGGAGGAATAGTACTGGCGTCATAAGTGTCACCGTTGGTCCTCACTTCTTGAAGCGCTCTCATGGAGCTCCTTTGGGCCGTCTTGGGTTTGTCTTGTCCTTTGGGCTTCTTTTGTTTTTCCTGGGGCCCTCTTGGGCCGTCTGGGGGCTCTCTTAGACCGTATTGAGGCCCGCTTTGGCCGTCTGGGGGGTCTCTGGCGGCCGTCGTGGAGCCGTTTAGGGTTCGTGCTGGGCCGTCGATGGGGCTCTCTGAGGCCGTGCTGGGTTCCTCGATGGGCCCTCTTGGGCCCGTTTGGCAGAGTTTGGTGCCGTCCTGGACCGTCTAAGGGCCCTCCTGGGCTGTCTTGAGGCCGCCTTCGCCGCCACCTCGGACTGCGGGCCCAGGTTCGCCTTCGTCGACGCGGCCCCCTCGGGACACCTCTCCGTGGACTGGCGAGTCGCTGTAGTCCCCAAGCGGGCAGCTCGGTCGTCTCGATCATCTTCTTCTCCGCCGCCCCTCACCGAGCGGGGCCGTCTTAGAGGATCACGTGGCCATTTGAGGCCCTCTTGGGCCGTCTTGTGGTCATCTTGGAGGCCTCTGGCAGGGGCCGCCTGGAGTTAGGGAAGACCCAGGGTAAGTCCGAGAAGTTCACTGGGGGCCCTCTTGTGGCCCTCTTGGGCGGCCGTCTTAGGGGCGTCTTGAAGCCATCGTGGCCTCGGGAGCGCCGCAGACCCGCAGTTGTTGGTTCGAGGGGAAGTGCCCCCCCGGGAGCGCGGATCCGTTGCTTTTTCGATGTGGCTGCGCCCTTTTGCCAGCGCGGGCCGGCAGCCTTTCTCGAGGGGCCGCGGTCTGGGCCGCGCGGATCCGCCGGACGTTTTGCCACGGCGTGGGAAGGCGGGGGCGATGCCTGCGACTGCGCATTTGTGGGCGGCGGGGACCCCCTCCCCGCGCCGCCCCCTGCCGCCGCCTGGCCCCGCTGTGAGCGGGCCTGGCTTCCTCCTCCCCGCCGTCGCCGGGCGCCTCCCCTCCCTACCCCTCGTGCACGGCGGCCCAATTCGCGATTGTTCGTCCAAGATGTGCCCTTCCGCCAGCGCAATCACTCTGCCGAGCCGCCGATGCAAAAAGTGCGTGTGGGCGGAGGGGGTGGGGTCGCAAGGAAGATTACAGAGACCCTGCCAGGCAGCACCTTGGTACAGCCTCGGCACGGGCGCTGGCCTCTCGTGGTCGCGCCGCCTTGCCCAGCCAGATCAATATTAGGCGCCGTTTACCAAGCCGAGCTGCGTCAGACCCTTGCATCTCGAACGTTTCCCTCGATGATATCTCCACCAGCTTCAACAGCGGAAGCAAGAAGGTGCCAGGGAGCACGGTGGCAACATATTATCATACCAAGCCCTGCGATGACAGGGTGAGTTTTATGTTTCCAAGATAGGAGCAACGCCTGCCGTCCCCCAAGCTTAATTTGCAAGCGGGACCTGGGGGAGGGGGGTTGGCCCTATCTATGGAGTAATCAGATCACACCTGCGATGTAGCCTCGTGCGCGATCAGTTGCATCAGCCGTGATGTGTCACCTCAACCTGCGCGGAAGCATTAGGACTTTCGCAGGTGTATTGGGAACTTGCAGATGCACGCCGCGAGTGCGGCGCAGATCATCAGCACCTTGGCACAAAGATGCTTGGGTGTTTGCCTACGCTTTTCGGAAGAGGAGCGGAGCAGCACCATCAGATGACTGGTTGGGGGCATGGAAATGAAGCAGCGCTACGCTCCCCAAGGCCTTCCTGAGAGTTAGCTACTCTACGAACGTCGTCATCGACGACAAGCTTGACGAATCGCTGAGGACATCGGATTACAGCAGCCGCTCTGAATGCCAATCCGGATCAGTTCACGTAGTATGTGTGGAGGTGGCGGAGACGGATCGGAAAGATCATGTGGCCCGTATGGCCCGAAGTATGTGAGTCTGAAGGGGCAATATGTGGACGGTTCTGACGAGGAAATGCACACTTCTCACCGTGCTCGCCTGCGCTCTGGACAAAGGTTTTCTCGTCGCCATCGACGGGCGTGGCTATCAAAATCGAAGACGCCTACTGCGAGTCACCGCCGCCCCCCCGGGATACGCCTATGTGGTCAAACGTTTGGGCAAAGTTCGGCCTCGTTTGGACAATGCGTTCCCCCAGCCGTTGTAGAAACCCTTCGGGGAACACGTGGGGAGGAACAGAAGGATGGGGAGAGGGAGACAACCAGAGGATGAGGAGAAGGATGAGGAGACCTCTTGGGAACTTTTGGGGTCATTTGTCCGGCCTCTTGGCAGCTTCTGGGGAGTCCCTTGGAGGCCTCTTGGCGGCCTCCTTGGTCCTCTTGGGGGCCTTTCAGGGCTCCTTTGGGGCCTCTTGGGCCGTCTTCCAGCGTTCCTGGCCCGTCTGTCGCCGTCGGAAGCCGTCTTGGGAGCCTCTTTGGGCCGTCTTGGGGCCCTCTCATGGCGCTTTGGAGCCGTCTTGGAGGCCATCGTGGGCGTATTGGACGCCTTATGGGCCGTCTTGGGGCCATTATGGGGCCATCTTGGGGGCCTCTTGGGCCATTCTGGGGCCATCTTGGAGGCTTCTTGGGCGATCTTGGGGCGATATTGGGGGTCTCTTGGACCGTTTTGGGTTGTCGTAAAGCCGAAAGGAAGCAAATTCCAAATTACTTCAAAAACTTATGAAAAATCCGTGATCTGGGCCTCTTCGGGCTGTCCTGGAGGACCTGTTGGAGGCCCCTTGGCCTCTCGGATGCCTCTTGGGCTGTCTTGGACCATCCTGAGGCCGTCTTGGGGCGTCTTGGGTACATCTTGGGCCGTCTTGGGTGCATCTCGGTGCCATCTTGGGCTCTTTTGGGGCCATCTTGGCCGTCTTGGAGGCATCGTGGAGGCCATCTGGGCCGTCTTGGGAGGATTCTTTCTGGACGTTGAGGTGCCTGTGCGGCTTTCCGGGCGGCCTCAAGACGGCCAGAGGCCCTCAAGACGCTTCCAGAGGCGCCCAAAATAACTCTCAGATGGCACAAAGCGTCTTATTCCGTTTGACAACGTACAGGTTTAGCACATGAGCTTCTTTGGTCGGCACAGCGACCAAGACGGCCCAAGCGGCCCCCAAGACCGCCCCAAGACGGCCCAAGAGGTCCCCAAGAGGGCCCCAAGACGACCCAAGTGGCTGAGGGTCCCCACAAGGTTTCCAAGAGAGCCCCAAGAGGGCCACACGAGGTTCACAAGAGGGCCCCGAGAGGGCCCCAAGACGGCCCAAGCCCCCCAAGACGGCCCAAGAGGGCTCCAGGATAGCCCAAGAGGGCCCTAAGACGGCCCAAAAGAGCCCCCAAAGGACCCCCAGGAAGGCTTGGAAATTCAATATTCATTGATTGTCGCAAGGTTTTTTCCGCACGTCCTATGGGGGGTCTTAGCAACGCACCCCAGTCACCATCGCAATCATAATTATTTCCGTCGTCATAGTCATCATCGTGCAACCACTCACACTCATTCGTCACCACCACTCCTCCTCATCCTGCTCCTCCTCCTCCTCCTCCTCCTCCTCCTCCTCCTCCTCATCACCATCATCATCATCATCGGTATCCTCCTTCTCCCCATCATCATCATCATCATCATCATCATCATCATCATCATCATCATCATCATCATCATCATCATCATCATCATCATCGGCATCCTCCTTCTCCCCATCATCATCAGCATCAGCATCATCATCGGCTTCATCAGGCATCAGTATCATCAGCATCGTCACCATCAACATCATCATCATCATCATCATCATCATCATCATCATTATCATCATCATCATCATCATAATCATAATCATCGTCATCATCATCATTATCAGCATCATTACCATTATTATTATCATCACCACCCTCATCATCAGCATCATCACCATCATCATCATCGACATCATCGTCATCATCATCATCATCACCATCATCATGATCATCATCATC